GCTGATTTTTGGTATGTGGCTTTACCTTGATTAGTTATAGATCAAGTTTGCATTTCGTCCCGCTTCATTAATTTTTGACGGAATTATGGCATTTTCAATTCTAACGGGAACCAGATTACACTTGCCGGTAGGGGACTAGTATTGCTAATGCAATACTCTCAGAATGCTTGTTTATCTTTACAATATAACGTCAAACGAGCATTGCTTCAACTTAAATGTTCATATGTCACATTTTTTGTTCTGTCTAATAAAAAATGTACATAAGGATTTTATAGCTCTGAATATGAATATGAACAAGAAAAGTCCTTTTCAAACGAGAAATGGCAAGTGTTACTCAGTTCAAAATCAGTCCAAACTTTCCGTATTTCTGAAATTCATGTAGAGGAATCCCCAATAGTGATATTTATTCATAATGTCTTTAAATCTGGTTAATGTAATGTAAAAAAGGGGAATAAAATAAGAAATTGAAATTATGTAAGCCGTCTGATTTCCCTGTAGACTACTGCATAGATGTGTTCGATAGATTATTTAGTCATTTGTTTGGGTGTGCGGTATTCCTTTGTGTTCGATGCTCATACGACATAAAATACCTGTTTTTATTTTAAATAATATATTAACACTTAAGTGTTTATCCAAATGAAACTAATGTCATTATACTTCGATGCGTTGTCTGTGTGATTCGAGCGGCACGGAGTAAGTGGTTGATCCGTACATCCCTTAAAATCATCGTATTAATTTGTAGATATCTACCATACAAACTAATTATGGTAATCACGAGGGCAAACGTTTTCAATCAAAGCGAAGATGCAGGTCTCAAGGGTTGAAAAATCATGTGTTTAAAGCTCATTTGATTTTTTTCCCGTTTGGACTGTATATCTACAAAACAGATGGAATAAAATTCGCATCAAAAACATAAAATTGAAATTATATTTTGTAAATGTCAGTCCAGAGAAGTTTATATATATATATATATATATATATATATATATATATATATATATATATATATATATATATATATATATATATATATATATATATATATATATATATATATATATATATATATATATATATATATATATATATATATATATATATTTATCCCATGTTTACCCCTTTATCCCGTGGATATGACTCATTGAATAAATTTTTCATAATCCACAGTTGTGACGTCACAATGGTTCTTGCGTTAGCGCGATGAAGTAAAATAAAGTGGAGTCCTATATAAAACAGTGTAAAACATTGGTTGTGAAGTATTAAACATGGGATAAAAAGAATCTCCCATGATTTGTAGTTGGATATGATTTTTATCCAACTCGTTGTGTGTTTTCTTCCCCTCGCCAAGGCTCGGGGATAAAAAAAACACACAACTCGTTGGATAAAAATCATATCCAACTACAAATCATGGGAGATCCTATATATATATATATATATATATATATATATATATATATATATATATATATATATATATATATATATATATATATATATATATATATATATATATATATATAAATGTACAATTAAATTGGAAGTCTAACAAATAACTGGAAGACCTTGTCTTTTTGGTATCCTATTCATAATAACCTTGGAGTACCTGTGTGTAGATCCACAATGCATTTTTAAAAAGTAGGTTTACATGTGACCAGTAACAACGTACGCAATTTTCGAGTTTCATTTTTAATTGAAGAAGCAGTTGTTAATGATGTAAACAAAACTGGTCTTTGGCTAACCGTGGTGAATGGTTTTAAAATGTTGAAAAGTCGTTCTGATGCTAGTGTTTTTGGTAAAATGTTGTGATTTCAAATTTTCTAAAAGTTTTTTGAAAGATTTGATTATCCCTTATCGAATATTTTGTTGTCGAGTACATTTGAAGTTTCTCCTTCACTACTGTTTATATTTTTGTGAGTAGTGAAGAAAAAGGCTTGGCAGAGCAGTGACTTGTACCAACTATGTATCTATGTATTTTTTTTTTTTTTTTTGAAAATCATTGTAAGTATGGTAATTCAAATTCAATTTGGTTGCTGGGAATATCAAAGACATTTAAAACTGACGTATAATTTTTAAGACTTTCCCCCTTAGAAAGGGAACTATGAGTATAACTTGGATTACCACTTGTAGAATTAAATATAAGTTCCTTTAAAATGCAAATGTATTTATGAACCTTTGAAACAAAGACAATGCTTTGTCTGCTGGAACCAGTACATATTTACTGAAGCTTACAAACAATTTTCCTTTTCACAATGTTTATAAACATGTGGGAACCCCTGTTTTCTTCAATCCATGAAGCTTGTTTTCTACACGCCCCTGTCTTTCTTTACGAAAAGATAAGAACCTTTCAGATAATGGAATCCATAAGTACATTTAAATATGTTAGGATTGTAAGAGATACAAGCATGTCTATAGAAAGACTAATTAATCTTTTGACAGCTGACGGAGTTGTTTCTGTGATCAGCTGTATCTAATTAAGGTTAATTGATATATTTTTTTTCTTCCCTTTTATAGCTTTTGGACATCAGTAATACACAGCGTTAAGATAATTAAATAAATGGATCTTTTACTGATCCCCATTAATTGCTATGTTTGTTATTGATTTTAGGCAGCCAGTTTATCTTCTAACAACTAATAAATACAGTATAAGGAGTTCAATGTATGATTATTACTTTTCTTATGAGTATTCCGGGAAAATTGAAATTGTACCGAAGTGTTTTGTAAAACAAATTATACCTCCACGGGCTTTTGTTTGTGCAAGTTTCCATGCTATTTATTTTAAGGCTTGGAGAAGGAATAAATCTGTTTACATTTTCCCATTATGAGTCAAATCCAGATTCGGTATAACATTACTGCATTTTTATATGTATAGCAACTAAACATTCAAAAGGAGTCGAAAATCGTTCAAATTTGTGAAAGAAATATGCAGATAGCGTTTTCTTTATTTAGATGCGTTGAAAAAGTTTTTGACGGAAAAGTACATAGCCTTTTCAGATTACGTGACTCATAGACAACCTTAAATCACTGAGAATACTGAAAGGTAGACATCAAGTAGATCCTTAAATGAACTAAATAACCTGCAATTAATCATGATTAATTACAACTTGTACATTAATGGAAATGTAAAGATAACAGACATGCACCTATCAAGCTCAAAATCAAATACAGCAATAATAAAATTAAAAGCAGAGCAAAAGCAATGCAATGGGAAGAGGGGATATGAGATGCCATGGATGTTGAAGGATCCACGTTAGCTCTAGGAAAATTTTATATGACAAGGACAATTTATTTCACAAACACAATTATAGTCTGTTCTACGATTTGAATGTATCCACTATTTGCATTATATCAAGGTCCGTACAAATACCATTATTGATTTTTAAATGTAAAATGAAACTATGGCAAAGAATTTCCCCTCACAAATAACTTGAAGTACATATAAACTTTTGTGTAAAATAACTAAAATAAACTTATGTTTAATATTAAGTTCCTGTTATAGTAATTCAAATTATCGAAATGTTTGTTATAAAAAATAGAGGTATCGCAATATACTCCAATATATCAAAGTTCAAAAGTTGTTTTTTTTTTTCAATAAAGTGAATAACATTTATTTAACCGGGAACCACATATTTGTTTATATCATGTATTACAATACTAAATTTTTTTTATTCAAAGGGATTATTACTTGAAGGAAATCATAATTGATATAAAATTAGAGCAATATTAATGAATCACTTCTCCAAAAACGTTGCACATTTGGGCAAAGTATAACAGTATCAAAGTTCCATCGTATTTTAGAATGTAATATAGCAAATTATAGTTACGGTAAATAAAGTACAAATTTTTAGTATGGTTTGTTTTATGAATAGACAATACTAGTATATTGGTATTTTTTAAAGAAGGAAAATATGGCTTTGTGAATATTCTCTATTCTAATGGCATGTTAAAAAAAATTAAAATATTTTTATCACATACTAAAACATGCAGCTGTGAGGCCTTGGTTTTAATGAAATATGGAGATAACGAACAGTATTCAAGCTCAAAGCCCATTTAGACAGTACACATCGGGAGCAGAGCAAACACAGACCTCCAAAAACATCAGAGGAGGATCAGGTTCCATTGAGGCGTGCGCATCCCATGCTGACCTCTTAAACCCGCCGTGTGCTACTTGTCATGATCGGGAAAACGAAAAATCCGTAGACAATTCAGTGTGTAAATAATGGTCTAACAATTAGTGTGAAGAACGCCAGTCAGTATTTGACTTAATGATAGGTTGTATTTGCTGACAAGGTCATTGTATCTACCAAAAAACTTGCAAAATGATGACTTCAAACGAGACTGTCGATGGCCTTGTTTCATCGACTTGTTTGTCAATAGCTTGCTTCTTTTTAGAAATCGTTCATCCGTAGAGCATGCTCTTATGTATCGAATCAACTGGGAAACAAAAACCCCGTATGCAGGTGATAAGGATATATTGTTACATAAGTAAGGGAAGTTGACGATTGAAAAATTGAAGTAATCACGTTTAAGCTTGGTTGTTAGGTTCACATTAAAGTCTTTTTCAAGTAAAATATCCAAATATGAAACACATGTGTCAAACTCTGTAGTATCTTTTATTTCAAGCTCACTGAGATATATCGAGTCGACATATGAATGGACACGGACAGGCAAACATAAGCATTTCCAATTTTCAACCATGATCTTAATATAAATCGAAAAAAAACTATTTTTTTTTCTTCAGAAAAGAAAGCCCAAAAGAGCAATTGTAGAAGAAAATACTGCAAAAATAATTTTATTAATTATTGTCCTTGTAAATCAGAGGCGCAATCCTATGCTTCCTCTTAGAACAAATTCCGTTCGATTAGAAATGCGGATGACAATACCAATAGCGTCACTGTTGTAATGGCAAAAATATTATTGAGGATCCCCAATACAAGACTCAGTAGACGGCACACACGAGACACATTCAATTCAATTATTCTTCTGCGTATGTTCTTCGTCGGTGTAGCCATTGAGGTTAAATGCTTTGAGTGAGGACTAATTTAACACATTTCAAAAGATGAGCGTTGCCAAGAAAGAATCAAATTGATTATTCGAACACGACTAAAACAGAAAGCAAGACAGATATGTATTTTGTGGGTGGTGCTGTTTACACATATTTTCTGATTAATGGCTTTTTAAATATATTATCTGTTTTCTGTGGCGGAGAGGACATGAAAGTCTGTCGTTCACATAGTTTTCTGATTGATGAAATAGAAATGAAGCATTCCGACAAGAAGCCGGAAGAAATATGTGGTATTCCAAATCAGGATGTGCAAATTTTCAGAATTCCGAGTGACCTGAAAGATCCACAACAGAAACGTGAGTATTATATTATGTTCTGTTATATTTTCTACCTGTAGAGCTTGTCGATAGGTTTGGCTATGTTGTCGTATTTTATATATACTAACAAATAAATTACGAAAATCAATCAGCTGGTCTAGTATAACACCACTCTGTCTGTTTCTGTAATTAAATTGGCCTATATAAATGGTTCTGGCTATTGACGAATACGGTGATTTAGTTACATCTGGTAAATCCAAGACACCATAAAAAGACATAGTCACGTTTAATACTTTTATAGAATATTATTCATACACGTATATATTAGATTACTTTTTCTGACACTTTCAAATCTTTGAACATGGCTATAGGAACGGGGGGGGGGCACGGGGGAGGGGGGGGGTCGTGCCCCCCAATGATTTTATATATATAATACTATAGAAAATATACTTGCTATTTGCTTGTGCCCCCTCAATAATAACGTCTGATGACCTTTTTTGCTTGTCAAGGAATTTTGGTAGTTGATAGTGCCCCCCCCAACTGAAAATGTAGCCCCTCAAAGTGAAATTGCTTCCTAAGGGCCTGTTGAATTTGCATGCATGTTTAACTGGTTTCATTTACTAGAATTCTTATATTTTCCCCCCAGATTTTTATCTATAGCATTTTCTCTTTATTTCTTTGATAGCCTAGTGGTAGCGCGTTCGTTTCCTGATTGGGTTCTATTCTCATTTGCCGCGCCAACCGTAGACGTAAACACACGTAAACATATTAGGTAGTGACTGTTCCTTCGCCGAACGCCCGGTATGAGTAAAAACCGTCGGTCTTTCGGATGAGACCTTAAAAACTGAAATCCCATGTCATGATAGGCGTTGGCATGATAAAGAAAACGTCCTTATCCAATGGTCCTGAGTACCGCGTATAGGTCCTGATTTGAAATCCCTTCACCGATATATGGTAACAGCACTATATGAATGAAAAATCCTCGAATGGACGTAAAACAAGATACAATCATTCAATAATTATATCATTCTTTCAATTACAAACGACATAACAGTATTATTTTAATGACAAAAAATATATGTATCTATTTACAATTGTGAATGATGAGTAATGACTGCAGATATCTACATGTATTTCATTTGTACATGTTTTACATCAGTAATCGCAGCAGATATCTTATAAATATTTGTATTGCTGTAGTGACTATAGCAGATATATACATAATAATGTACCTCCTTTTTGGCTTAACGGTGCCTTGTTATCTGACGTTATATTGCTGCAATAACAAAAAACAATGTCTCTAACATCTGTATTGTTGTAGTGATAAATACCCGTAGTAAATATCTTCGTTATCTGCATTGTTGTATACTTTAATTCTTTATTAAATAACTTTAAGCCATACGGCCCATCAGCACAAAATAAACATAATTATGAGCACATGGCGAGAGTCTGCAGGGGGTGGGGGTGGGGGGTCGGAACCCCTAGTGTCCATCTGTCCGACTCCTCAACACCAACAATTACAGGAAACATTATAAACTCTCCATTAGTACATGAAAAAAAATATCTATGCATAATATACATATGAATTAAATTATTCATCATTTCTTAATATCATTGCATGAAGAATGAATTTCCCTAATCCAACTAAAACACCAACATCAAGAGAGCTGAGTAGCTGAGTAAGCTTGTACATATTTGAAGATCTGAAATAATATGGTTTGATATATTTTCTTCTTAAAGGATCATATGCAGGCAGACCCGTAGGAAGCAATTTCAGTTGGGGGGGGGGGGGGGGGCACAGGCATACATTTTCAGTTGGGGGCAGTATCAACTACCAAAAATTCCTTGACAACCAAAAAAAAAAAAAAAAAGGTTATCAGACATTTTTATTGAGGGGGAACAAGCTAGAAGTAGCTAAATTTTCTATAGTCATCTATATATCGGCAAAATTATTGGGGGGGTCACGGCCCCCCGTGCCCCCCCCCCCCCGTTCCTACGGTCATGGCAGGACATTCAAGCAAATAATGATATTCATCTTCGATACGGTGATCATTACAAAATTGACATATTCTATTACTTCTTTCTATTTTCTGATATCTTCCTGTCTCTATACTTAAGCTATGGGAAGAAAGCCTTATTCTATTAATATACTTCTTTAACTTAGAATGAATAGGTTTTGTAATAACAACCAGCAGATATCAACCTGTTATTACAAGCAGCAAATACGTACATTATCTATATTGCTGTGGTGACAAAATTAGGATATCTTAGTTTTCTTTATCGCTGTTGTGACAAACCATAGAAATCTATTTTTTTTTTTCAAATCGTAAGAAAGATATGACTGATGACTGTTGAAATGTATGTTCATGGAATTGTAGTGGAAATTGTTTTATTTATTATTACGTTGGCAGATATAACTGGCATCTGTTTTAACTGTTAGTTGAAATTTTTGTTGTATTAATTATACTTGCGCAAAATTATTAATTAAGCAAATAAATTTGTTTTATTTTCGAGTGTATTCAAATGGATGTATCTCTTTTTTTTATCATTGAAAGAAATTTAGATAAATCATCCCCTCAGCTGGAATTATTCCCAGTAGAAGGCTTATAACAGTAATCCAAAAAGAACGATTGCAAAGAATTTTGATGAAGGATGTTTTCTCTAAACCTTCTCGGGAGAAATATTTCATCTATCATTTCCAAAGAAAGTGATACTTTATCGATTGCGGCATTCACATAAATAATTTTTTTTTCCTTTGGTCTAATATTGTCAATAGAAAACTTAAAAGATCAATCAACCATGCAACGGAATTGTCTTGAGCAAATCTTTAGTAGTTCATCTTTAAAAAAAAAAAACCAAACCAATATTTAAACTTTAAGGCACAGTGGGTTTTTAAGCTTGGTTTTTAATCATTTTTTTCATAAGTCGCAAAAAATGTCAAAACAATAATACAGATTTCATACATAAATTTATCACAGATCTAACTTTACCATGTCTGACAAAGAAAGTAAAAATTTCCAACACAATTTATATTCCTGTCCAACACGAATTGTATTATTGAGATCAATATAAAGAGAGTGATATCGACACTGTTTACTGCTAGAAATGAAAGATGATGCATTAAAAGCTTTTGCACATACTGAAGTGTAATCACTTTCGAAAGATTTGGGCACAAAATGAAACAATCTCAGTGACTTTTTTAAGATGATCAAAACACCATTTTTCTGTATAGAATTATATGTCTTTTACATCATTTTTTTTTGTATTAGCTATTCTCTTACCCTGGTAAACGTTTCTTTCTATTACACTGTAAAATAATGATTAAATGCTTCCATTAATGTAGAAGTAACCAATTTTAGTTCTGAAATGTAGAGATGCTTTTACTAGGATTAGACGTTTTATCATTTGCTTTATGATATAATTTTCCCAATGATTTATTTCCCAGAACATTTTTTAAAAGATCAATATACACTCATTTACAGTATTTGGGACACATTTGAGAGAGAGAGAGAAAGAGAAAGAGAGAGACCATGCTTTTGTTCTGCTTTACATATCCATAGAAATACACTCTTCTGAATTCAAAGTTGTCTTGTTCAATCAAGATTTTCTACCCTTTTTTCTATTTCTACAGAAAATATTGAGAAAAAAAGTCATGTAAGATGTGAATGTTTACTTCATTATATCTCTACAAAATGATTTTAATGATTTTAGTAATTCTATACTTTCTAAATTGATTCTCTTTGAATTTTTTTCTATTGAGTATGAGAGAAGAAAGAAGACCAGTTTTTCCTAAAAGAAAATGTAATACATGTAATTAATTATGGAAGTTGTTGGAACAAAAAGAAAATTCTATATCAGCTGTTCATTGATTTTTTTTGTCTTCTTCTATGCATCAAGCCCTAGAGAAATTAAACGTATCACACAAGAGTATGTTGGTACTTGAATAGGAAGAGGAAAAGCAATTTTCGAAAATATTTGTAGTTAATTCCCCTGTGGTGTATTTCGAGATTATTTTTTCTCTTTTCTATTTAAATTCTTTTCTCCAGAGATACAGATAATTCGTTCTTGAAATTTAATGGCGACTCTACTTTAGGGTTAATTAAGGAAAGAGATTCGTTTTCTCAGAAGGTGGTAAGGAATCTTTCCTTTAATAAATATTTCAGCAATATTTAAAGAAACTAAGAAAGATTTTGGTTTTCATATTAATATTATTAGAATCTTAGAATCTCTTTTTTATTCCAAATACAGTAAAACTCGGTTATAACGAAATCACTGGGACCTGTGAAATTACTTCGCTATATCCGTAATTAGTTATATCCGTATAAGATTTTCGTAAAATTTATATAGCTGGGGATCCAAGAAAACTTCGCTATATCCGTGAATTTGCAATATCCGTGTTCGTTCTAAACGAGTTTTACATAAACATTTACATATAACATAAAAAAAAAAGATAACGACAGTGATCGATCTAAAAAAATCTACAAATAATACAAATCTGTATACGGGGCATAAAACACGGACACTAGTAGATTCCAGAGGTGGAATCAGTTGCCTAGGAGGAGTAAGCATCCGCTGTTGACCGGTCACATCCGCCGTGAACCTTATGTTTCGATCGGATAGACGGAACATTCCGTAGTCAAATTTAAAATTTAAAAAAGGCCTGACAATTGGTATGAAAGACGTCAATCAAAATATGACCCAAGGATCATGGTTGCTTATATTTGCTAATAAGGTCATAGAACTTACGAAAAATGACTTTTAACGAGATTGTTGGAATCCCTGTAACATCAACTTATCTATTAGTAGTTTGCTAATAGTCTGTTTAAAAAATGATAGTTCTCAGAGCATGCTCTTGAGTATCAAATAAGTTGGGAGACGTAAACACCATATGCAGGTGGTAGCAGCTAGGATATTACTACATAAATAAAGTTGTTGAGGGAATAGTTGAAGCTATCTCGTTTGTCATACAATTTAGTTGTTAGTTGACCCTTATCGTCTACAGTCAGTAAATAATCCAAATATGAAACAGACGTACATGTAGTAGACTCTGTGGTGTGTTTCATTTCACGTTAGCTGGAATATATCGAGACGACATATGAATGGGAGTAACTATTATTAATTAATAACATGTCATCTACATCTATCTATATTTATGTCGAGTTGAAGGCCATAGCAATTATTATCAATAAAGTCTATTTCATAGGAATATAAAAACATCTGGGCAAATAAAAGAGCATAATTAGTGTCCATCGGAATTCCAACAGTTTTTTGGAAGATCTGGTCTCCGTAGACTATTTGAATGCCCTCAACTAGGAATTCCAGCATCCTTTTAATTTCAACTTCAGAGTATTTGTGTATAGAATCAGAGTGATTTTAAACAAAGTAATTTTGTTGATGACCAATCACAATACAAGAACTCCAAGTTTATTGCAGTTGTTTATGATATCAAAAAGTCTAGGCTTAATTTATTTAAGGAAATGATATTTTTGATAAAAAAATGCATGTAAAATTTCTTAGTTTCACAAAGTCATCAAGGGTTATTTAGTAGATTTTCCCATTGCTCAGTTTTCAAGCGTTCTATTGAGTTCTTCTTCTTACATTTCTAATATTATAGATTTGGTCTTGGGTATACCAAAAGAGATCACTAGACTGATAATCACATTCAACGGAGTTGTGCATGCTATCGGAGTCAATGGTTCCAAAGCCAGGCTTTTGTCATGTTCAGCATACCATGACACACTTCTTATTACATCATCTGGAAAAAATCCATCCTGTGTCCACGTTTTATTGAAGCTGAAATATCTTACTCAAAATGTTGGAAGGTAAATTGGCAACTTTGATTTATTTGATATTTCAGTTTCTACCAGTATTACTCGCAAATACTGTTGAAATTACAAAAACAAAATTGATAGAAGTCGTAAGATAAGCCTTTTCATTAATTTTCGTTAAACAGTTTAAAGCTATTTTATAAAGAATTAGTAGTATTTTACTAAATTTGAATTTGATTTGACTGATTTACCTTTTACGTCAAAACATCTGTTTGTCAAATTAGATGGGGTTCAAAATACATCTTAAGTTAAAATTAAAAGCAATATGACTATCATATCATTACGTCAAAACATCTCTTTATCAGATTATATGGTGTTCAACATACATATAAAGTTAAATTAAAAGCACATTAACCATCACATCATAAGATCATACATAAACTTATTCAACATGTTATAAAATTCAAATTAATCATAAAAATATATCAAAATATTGTTGAACTCCAGTTCATAAACTATAATGCTACTATCAATCTAAAAAATAATTTCAAAAAATACAAATTGAGAGAAGGGCAAACATCAGGGGTGGTATCAGACACCATGGTATTATTATTTGACAAATATTCAACATTTATCATGAACATGTGACGACCATATGTTTGCAACAAATGGAAAACATTCAATGAACTTTATTTGTTTAACATACGTTGAGCATACTTGAAACCTGCCGGTATTTTTCTCATTCTATTTGATAAACAGAATTATAATGCAAATTTTTTATTAGTGTGTATGTTTATAACTTTTGATGAACTCTAAATGTATGGAATATTTTGGACTGAACAAAAATAAAAACATTTTTTTTTATATTTCAGACATTTTTACATGCTTTATTCTAAAAGGAAATAAATATCCAATATATAAATCTTATACCGAAACATACTGTAGATTGGCAAATAATCACGATGGTTTTAATTTCACTATGATCGTGATTCATAATTTTTCCGCGAAATTAAACCCACCGTAAATGTCATCATTAGTTTTTAAAAATGTTTTAATGCTTATACGAACTTTAAATTTATTTCTTATAGCGTGAAATTAAAATCATCGCGATTGGTACTTTTTGAGAAATCGTGAAATTTTAGCACCGTGGAATTAAAACGACTTACAGTATTTGATAATGAGATGTGGCTTTATATTTCATCTGATAGATTAACTAAGGGTTAATTAATCCCTGATCAATAATTATGTAGTTCATTAGTATAGGGATTTATTTTGCAGCAACGATGTAAACATCAGTTCAAGAATGGTATATATTTCCTATTGTAGAATAGAATATGAAAACAAGTTAACATACAGTGTTAAAAGTGTGTTATTTTCATGATTTTGTTTCTTTACAGCGTTTGGATAAACAAGACAGGGAAAATGGAAGGAAAGCATATAAGGCTGAACAATCATGGTAAACTGCTGAGGAAACCAAACTTAAGCCAACAAGTTGTTTTTTCAATATTTGCGTACGAAAACAAGGGGTTCTGGTGGACTAAAACGCCCACCTTTGCCATCCTAATTTTACTTTACCGATTTAAAAAAAAAGTCTTTTAGGAATCACATAGCAAAATAAAGAAAGCCTTTCAGGAATCCCATAACAAAACTAAAGAAAGTCTGTCAGGAATCCCATAACAAAACCAAAGAAGGTCTGTCAGGAATCCCAAAACAAAACCAAAGAAAGTCTGTCATGAATCCCATAACAAAACTAAAGAAAGTCTGTCAGGAATCTGTCAGGAATCCCAAAACAAAACCAAAGAAAGTCTGTCCGGAGTCCCATAACAAAACTAAAGAAAGTCTGTCATGAATCCCATAACAAAACTAAAGAAAGTCTTGTCATGAATCCCATAGCAAAACTAAAGAAAGTCTTTCAGGAATCATATAGCAAAACTAAAGAAAGTCTGTCAGGAATCATATAAAAAAATAGCAAAAAAAAAAAAAAAATTCTTTGGATACAAGGTGTACAAATGATCGTTCTTAACTTAGCTTAGGATTTTAGAAGAGAATTAATATTAAGCGGTTTGATTATTAGTTTGTTAGGAAAGCGAGCCTTGATCCAATTATGATACCAAATATTATCAAAAGAAGGAGAGTGAGCGCTTGGAATAATAGGTCTATCTTCATCATCAATGCTGGCTCTTTCCATCTAAGTATCCATTTCTACACCCTAACCACTGATAAAAGCACATCATTTTTATAATTTTTATCTCGTGACAACTCTCTATTATAGCTGTTGCGCCTAAAAGGCTCGCTACTTCCGCATTATTGACGTATTCAATAAGAAGGTTTCATTGGTCATATGAAGAATAACGATATTGATCAATAACTCCAAAACAAGGAACCTAATACAATATGGCTGACACAATGAACGGTGATATATATGATCGTAGTCTCTGGTTCATAAAAGAATTTGTGAAATGTTAGTTTCCATATTAACATAAATGCAAAAGAATCCATTCCTTTCACTTAGATATGATATTGATTGATTGAGAAGAGATTTTATTGAGCTTCATTTTCTTTTTGTAACTATCAAGGGCATTTATTATGTAACAGATCTAACACCTGAGAAGTACTCTGAATATGGAATTTTCCCCCATTTTATCCAAAGTATACATGTACATCAGCAAAATATTGCTTCTTATACATTTGATGTTACTTGTATTTATGAAAAGATTGCTTTATCTTCTTTTTAGAGATATAATAGTGATAAATCAGCTATTTTTGCTCTATTATGTAGAGAACCAACAATCGAAAATTAGGCTAAAGAGAAGTAACCCAGAAAAATCGACACAAATGCAATACAAGAGCATCTCTGCCAAAATGACAGGTAGTTACACTAATACTTTGTAAATCTCTCAGAAAACTAAAGTATTAATAAGAGTTTTAGATCTTTAAAGCAATGGAATTGCTATCTTTTATATATATTCATTTTGACTTTAAAATGTAACAGAATTAAAATTTATTTGAGAAAATTTAGTGTTTTGATACAAAATGTTTCTGCAATATTTTTCAGTCCTTCAAAATGAATTTGCAAGGATTAAGTACTTGCTTTTTGGTAAAGATCAAACGCTAAAGATTGTGAAAGAAATCAGATATTGTGTCTCTATTTATGCATTTTATGTGATTGAGATGTGATACATTAAAAAGACGCTAGAGATTTTTACTCCATTAAGTTCTGTGTACAAAAAATTGCTACCTTTTCAGATACAAAATTTACATGAATATTTATTATATTTGTCTTATGAGATCTTAACAAAAAAAAAAAAAAAAAATAAATAAATAAATAAATAAATAAATAAAAATAAAATTAATAAAAATATACTAAAAATTAAAATATATATAAATATGCTTGTGCCTATTCACATGACGATTTACCGTGACAAAAGTACAGTAAGTAGACATACTTTATCCGGGGAATTCAAAAGATTTCATACTTGCTTAAATGGTCAGTCTGTTGCATGTTTACTACTTACTTATCTTTACTATGTTTGTTTGTTTTCCTAGATATATCCGAATGTGGAAAAACAAGAAGCTGCTTTAGGTAATAGATTCAAAGATTTATAAAGGTTTTCAAAGCGAAAAAAGCTGATTATGTCAAGAATGCCTTTTAAATTTTAATTCAAAGTTATCATCCTTTCTTGTCCCTTAATTAAATGAATAGATATATTTAAAAAAAACACAAATAATTACTTAATTTTTTCTCGATAAATTAATATATCTTATTTATACCTTGTTTACATTGTCTGATCCCTTACTCATGCGCATTGCTGTATACAGGGTTATTTTCGCTCTTTCGTATTTTCAAACAATTTTCCTCCGTTTTAAATTTGCCTAGACATAGCTGTGTCAAAGAGATGATGATATTGAATTTGCCTCGTAAATTAGAGAAACGGCGAAAATAAAACAATTGCAAAATTTTCCAGGTATATACAGTAATGCCTTTCTTTCAGATATCACCCAATGGACAGTCATTGTGGACATATGAAATGTTCATATTTTCTGAGTTATTCTTACAAACACATCTTTGATGATATGGAGTATGAATATGATTTTGAATTAAGTGGTAGAACTTCCGGTTGGATCGCTGTGGGATTTTCGTCTGATAAACAAATGGTAATGTTTAGAATAAATGGATTATATACTCTTTAAATTGCAAAATTTCTGATATTATATTATGATAATTTATTTTTATAGGAAATTGTTATCAAAATAATTTCAAAAACTAGAAAACTATACGTTTGACATCAAATTTAGACTCGTTGTTTCTGAAATAATATAGTAATCATTGTCAAATGTATATAAAACTGTTTATAACTATGTCACATGCGAAGGATGAAAATATATAGTTTTTTAAATATACTGTATACATTGAACAATTTGCCCTCACGCGGCAAATTTTTCAGAAAACTGTTATTTCTCTTTTAACAAGATTGTATCTTGGCAAAAATAAAACGGATAGAATCATTCGCAATTGTTAAAAGTCAAAAATAGCTATTTGCAAACAAATAATGATATAAGAGGAAATAAGAGTCTTTGCCGTAAATAAAACAGTTTTATGCATTTGATATGCCTTTGTACAGATGGGTGATGCACTAGCTTGTAAGACGAACAACGATCAAACAGATCCTATAGTGCAATCATACAAAATCCCAATGAGGCAAGCACATCCGAAACTAAGGGAGGGATTCAAGTCAAATCTCACAATAGCTGTCAAACAGAACAACTTCATGTACTGCAGGTATTTATAATTTTTTGTTGTTATAAGGGTACATGTATATGGAGCCCATCGTTTCGGTTTTATATTGTGCAAATATTACCAAAGCTGTCCCTAATCATCTTTCTGCATTTACCTATCACTGTTTGAAACTTCATGCGCAAACTTTGCCACCGTTTCCTAATTGCTGGATTAGGTGACCTATATAGCCATTATCTGAACTGGGTACATGTATTTTGACGAAGGTGGAAACCAAGTTATTAAATACGCACATACCAAGTACCGTCTCTTTAACAGTATGGTTACAGTGCAACAGAATGGAAAAGTGTCCTGAATTAAAACAAACAAACAAACAAACAAAACCATCGTAGAATGCCCCTAAGAAATTGATTTAAGCACAGATTGTTTAATGCTTGAAATTTGCAGTTGCTTAATTCAGTTAATATGTAACTTTTGCAACATCATTTTCATCAAAATTACATGTATTATCAAACATTCTGGACAACAGTCATGTAATATTTTTGTACCATACAAACATTATGCAGCAACATACCGTATGAAATGACTGCTTCTATTTAACAATTTAGATTCTTGTTCCGAGGCGGACAAGGGGACATGATGGATCTGACCAATGACTGGTTCCAGTTATATGGGCGTGGTCCCGTTTCATACGGTACGGTATTCTTAATTTCTAAGTTTGTCTTGATTGCCGAATTTGTATGATTAATAAAAGACTTTTTAGTTTCATTTCATAGAGTAATAAGTTATGTTTGTTAAAATACTTATATCTGATACCTGAGGTCATCTTTAAAATTATGTTTTTTTGCCCTCGGCCGACTCAGAATTAAAAAAAATCGGGTCAGTAGGTAGGTGGGTTTCTTTTTACCCTATGCAAGAATTTTTCAACATCAATGCTGAATTTCCAAAATCTATTGAATTTGAAGGTATTGATAAAATAAAAATAGTTAATAACGAGATGAGAATATTCCTGAGAGAAAATATAAAAGCTTTCCTGGATGTTTAAAAAAGTTTGGAGTCGGGCCACTTTTTAGCCTGTCTGTCGGGAGATGGCAGCCAAACGATTTTTAGGTCACCTGAGTCACTCAGGTGACCTATTGCTATCTGTTTTCGTCCGTCGTCGTCCGTCGTCCGTCGTGCGTCGTGTGTTAACATTTGAACATTTTCAGCTTCTTCTCTAAAACCGCTCAACCAATTTCAGCCAATTTTTGCATATGGCATCTATGTGTAAAGGGGAACAAAATTTGTGAATTTCATGGTCCCTGCCCCCCTGGGGCCTGAGGGGTGGGGCTAAAACCATCAAAATTAATGCAATTTTTAAAAATCTTCTTCTTTACTCCTGGACATCAAGCAGTCAAACTGATGACATGATTGTAATAAGCATTGAGCCCTCTACCAAAATTGTGAAATTCATGGCCCCAGGGTCAGGGGTTCTGGTGTTAGGGCGGGGCTATATAGATCATATAGTGAAAGTGCATCATTTTTATTTGAAAATCTTCTTCTCTACTCCTGGATATTATTGAAACAAATTGAATACAAAGTTATGATAAGCAAGGGTGACTCTACCAAAATTGTGAAATTCATAGCCCCAGGGTCAGGGGTTCTGGTGCTGGGAGGGGGGGTATGTAGATCATATAGTGAAAGTGCATTATTTCTTTAAAAATCTTCTTCTCTACTCCTTGGTATTATTGAAACAAATTAAATACATAGTTATGATAAGCAAGAGCGACTCTACCAAAATTGTGAAATTCATAGCCCCAGGGTAAGGGATTCAGGTGCTGGGGGGGGGGGGGGCTATATAGATCATATAGTGAAAGTGCATTATTTCTTTGAAAATCTTTTTCTCTACTCCTGGGTATTATTTAAACAAATTTTAGTACATAGTTATGATAAGCAAGAGCGACTCTACTAAAATTGTGAATTTCATGGCCCCTGGGTCAGGGGTTCTGATGGTAGGGGGGGGGGGGGCTCTATTTATTATATAGTGAAAATGCATTAATGCTTTAAAAATCTTCTTCTCTGCTTCTGTGTATTATTTAAACAAACTAAGTACATTGTTATGATAAGCAAGGACACCTCTTCCAAAATTGTGAAATTCATGACCCAAGGGACAGGGGTTCTGGTGCTAGGGTTGGGCTATATAGCTCCTACAGTGAAGGTGAATTATTTCTTTGAAAATCTTCTTCTCTGCCCCTGGGTACTATTTAAACAAACTAAGTACATTGCTATGATACGCAAGGATGCCTCTTCTAAAATTGTGAATTTCATGGCCCCAGGGTCAAGGGTTCTGGTCAAAAGGTGGGGGGGGGGGCTCTTTTGATTATATAGTGAAAAATCAAAATTTCTTTGAAAATATTCTTTTCTGCTTCTGATTAAAAAGCAAAGAAGCTAAGTATATAGTTATGATGAGCAAGAGTGCTTCTTCCAGAGTAGTGAATTGCATGACCCCTGGGTCAGATGTGCTGGTATAAGGGTGGGGCTGTTGATAATGTAATGAAAATGCATTAATTCTATTAAATAATCCTGTCTGCTCCTTAATGTTAAGCAGTTAAACAAAGTGATTACTTATGATGAGCAAACTTGAAACTTCTGGTCCCAGGGTGAGAGGCACTGGTGTTTCTCGGTGTTGAAGGGGGGGGGGGGCTCTATTGAATAATATAGTGAAAATGCATTATTTCTTTAAAAATCTTCTCTGCACTTGGGCATATCAGAGGCAAAAAGTGTAAAAGTTGTACAATGTAATAAGGAAGGGTATTTTTACCAGATTTTTGAACATCTGGACCATTTGGTCAAGTGTTCTGGTCCTAGCCAGGGCTCAATTAATTTGCATTCTACTGAGAGGAGTTATTCCCCTTTGCCGTTTACTTTTGATAATTAATCACTGTAAATAATGTACTTGAAAAATTAATAGAATAAGGGAATTATGCAAGAATTTTTATTGTATAATACAAAAAGTATTTTCATAGTTTTAATGATCATGTGGACTTGTAAGTAATAGATAAATAAAAATGAGACAAAAATAACTTGTCTTATTAAATGTTCATCAAAGACCAAGAGAGGCCAATGTAAGAGATTACAACTGTCAACAAGGAATTAAAATAGTACAAAAGCACTGATACTTTTTTAATATACTGTATGGTGATAGTGATATTAGAACCTAATTTATGAACTGTTAATGAATAGTAGACTAATTATTTTGTTGATCCTGATCACCCTATTTTTCTTGCTTTTGGGCAACAAAGCTTCACCTTTCATTTCATTTTAATACTCTATGGATCCTCTAAATTGTTGTATTGTACTCAGGTGACCGTTAAGGCCCTTGGGCCTCTTGTTAAAAAGATAGCCTTAGATCAACATTATGACAAACTAGATTTAACCATCATCGCTTAATTCACATATCTTTCATCATAGATGAAGGATAAAAATTTGCCAATTGCATGTTGAAAAATATTGATTTTATGATTAATGCCTTTTTTTCATAAGCTTCCAAAAAAAATGTCTATATCATAATGTACTGGTAATAATCACATTCATATTTGTAAAGAAGACCAAATATATCGTTGCTGTTTTTTGTGTGCAGGAAAGAAAGTATATTTTAACAAGTTTTAGAATGTTCTATATAAGTCCTGTAATAAGTTCAACTTTTTGAAAATTCTTTCCATTTAAGTTAGGTTGTAAATAAACATACAGCAACAGAAAAAAAATTTCAAATTGATACTTTAATTCTGAACTTGTATCTATTTTCTGTTGTGAAAGAAACTTAGTTAAGGTTTCTGAAAGATTAATGTTCTCGTTACGTTTAGAACAGTAAATCATAATTACATGTAACAACTTTCACCAGCAAAAAAATCTCTAAAATGTCATACTGCTTTTATTTCTTTCATTTGTGCACATTCATTTTAACGTTAACAACTTATCTTGGTACATTTTTAATGTTTGGACAGATGGAGATTTGTTAATACATCAAGAGACGCCCCTGATATCCAATTTTAAGATCAGTCTAATCAAAAGTGTCAACAAGATGAACGTTTACACAAGCCAAGGATCTTCCGTCACTTCCGGCTACCTCTGGTTCTTATGGACCAGTGTCTCTTATATGTTGATTAATTTTCTTAATTGATCTTGGTTTAAATTTTTCGAAAAGCCACAAAATGTACATAATTATAGTAAGTTCGAGAAAGCATATAAAATTGTTTTCTTTCTGTTTAGAATAATTTATTGATCTTGTACTTTGAATTTTTTTTTACGAAAAACCTAGTTAAAAATCTGATCATTTTCTTTTCACAACATCATCCCCATAAATTAGATAAATAAAAACATTGCTGGATTTTTTTCAATACACAACACCTGTTTAACAGTAGATCAATAGATTATGTATTAAATCGAGAAGCAATAGGTTATGATGCATTTACAGATTCATGTACTTATCCAAGCATATTTTTAACTAATGTCTCGTTGTATGTTGTATTGGAAAACAGTAGAAACCTACATTGTATTGACATTTTATTCTTTCTCTTTCTTTTGACCAATATCCATCATGAAACTTGATTCTACGATACAGAAATGTTGCTTTTTTATCATCATTTGTAAAACCATATTATGTACATATCTATCAGCATTGGTGAAAATTATATTATTTTTCACCATTTTTCTAGTAATTAAGAATACATTATTGTGTTCATCTCTATTTATGCCGGAGGACAAAATCTTAAAACACGACATAGCAACTATTGTAAAACGAACATATTACTTTCTTCAACTACAATCTCCCTGCAGAACACAACCAACGATCTCGCTTATTTTCCCGATGAACCATTAAACATCCAATTAAAGACGAGTAATGAAATAATTCATCGACTTACATTTAAAACATTTAATGGTTTTAATATTGTCTACCTAGTCAGAAAATTTCTTTTCTCAGATTTTGCCATGCTTCTTTTATAATTCTAAATCAATTCCAATGTAGAACGTACAAAGGAAAGTGTTTCAATGCGTAAAGCTGACGTTATGCTTTCCTTTGATGGATAATACATGAAAGTTTCTCTGTGTTTGATAAAAGATTTTGATAGCATTCAGTTTGAGACAGAGTCCAATCAGGTTTGCTAATTAAAAAATTGCAGAAATAAGCCAGATCGAAATCAGAAAATTTAGATGTAGTGTTACATTAACAGTTTATAATCTCAACACTGCAGTCTGTTTGACTGTGTGTGTGTGTGTGTGTGTGTGTGAGGGGGTGTGTGTGTGTGTGTGTGGATGGTTAACTTATTTACATTTCTATTGAAACCTTTGAATGCCATTTTATTCATACATTTATTGGTATTTTTCAGTGTAAATATGCATGAAAACGGTGTATTTTGATCAGCGTCCTCATTATTTTACATAATGTTATCAGTATTATGATCAAATTTTGTTACATGGAATCTTTATTGCAGCCCGGAGGACCGGTGTCGCATAATATTTGGTCCGCCTCGTTTAAAGGTCCGGGGGGACCTAATACGATAACATATAAGGTCCGGCCTGCCTCTATAATAAAAGGTCCGCCTTCGGTTTAATATGCAGATTTTTCTCCTTTATTGATTCAGAATTAATTTGATTTATTAATCTTTTTAAATTATTTAAGGTATAGTTGTTATAAAAGTGTCCCTCCCAGCAAAATGGAGTTCCAGGGACGTCCATGTATGTACATATTGTATATATACTAAAAGGATCAAGTCTTGCGATATCTCGCTAGTTACTGGATTTCGTTAGCCAATTTTAATTAATTATATTAAATTATTCTCTAATACTATGATATATCTCGGTACAAAACCTCAAATTATCTATCAAAAATTATTCAAAATTTGATGTTAGCACTGATTAACTGTTAGCTCCTTATCGTAGTACATACCATGCATACCTCACAGATAGTGCACAAAACAAAAAATATAAAGATGCAAAGATCTGTTGATCGAGTAACCTTATGGGAAAATCATGTACGACATGTGTCTTTTATAGTTTAAGTGATATCAATATTATCATTGCAAAATAAAAAAAAATACATATATATAATACGCATACCTTCACTGGCACATTGTTCAGTATATGGTGTTCGTAAGTCCAACAATGATCATTTCATTACTGTAACAGTCTCTTTCCTAACAACGTTCGACTTCCACTTCCCAAAAAGAATTTTCATATCTTTCGAAAGATATTTCATTATATCATTAATAATAATTATGCGTAATTCTTACAATTCATATTGTACCTAACTATAAAATAATTGGAGGGTCACTGTGACAGGGACTTGTGTTACGGTGTACTAGCCTATCCCGTTGTTGTTAAAACAACATGTCTGTGCTTTGGGGGGTAGGCCTATTGTCTCACCTGACGAAACTTGAAGTCGCATATCCCCCGTGTTTTTATAACCATCGTTTCTTATCCAGTTAAAGACTAACGATTATTTCATTCTACTTGATATTACCCCGGGGTTAACACTGGTTAAGGAAGATGTGCGTTAATTGGCAAAATCAAAGTCAATCGAGTTGAACATTTTAAGCAATAACCCCCCCCCCCCCCCCAAATGGAAAAGATTTTAAATGGTGGTGTTGCACATTTGGTGGGTGGGGTATAGCAAAATTATGCTAATACATGTCAAATAGTTTAAAAAGTACTGATGTTGTATACTTTCCTCCCGCATTAATATTTTTTCCCGGAAAAACGAGCTTGGGTTTAAAGACCCCTCCCCCTTTTGGAAAAGGAGCCTAGCATAGGATTTTATTTCCGGAATTTTTTTTTAAATATTGTTTATTTCATTCCCTACATTTTTGTAGTTTTCATTTCTGACGTTTTAAAATTTTCATCTCTGACATTTATCATCATAAAGTACTTTTCCGGCAATGAAAACAAAATTGAAATTTCCCTTATAAAAAAAATTAAAGAATAAATCAAGAATAATTCATTGATTTCCAAATAATAAGTTCTGCTTATATTTAAAAGAATCTTATGATGATTTTATCCTCGGACACATGTAAGTGTAAGTTGTGAATTTTTGTTCATCTTTTCAAATCAAGATAAGCAGACTGAATTTGAGATCAGAAAGGTTAAGACAGAATTTATGACATACAGAAACTATGTTTGAGGGAATAAAGTAATCAAAGTTGAGGGGATTCTGTTTTTCGGTGCTTTCAAACACATATAATTCAGTGGGCATTAAAATTTGGTGATCAAAAATTGATTGTTTTATTATTGAAATTATTGCATTTTATTACTAAACTTTGTATTTTTACTAGACTTAGTGTTGATTGTATTCTAAAATGAAAACAAAAAAATGTCGGAAATGCAATGCAAAATTTCGGAAATGACATGCAGCGAGCTTGGAAGAAACAACCCCGGCTTTATTATCCACCATAGGAAATACTCAGTACGCTTCAGTACAGAATTTTCTCCTTTTCCAACTTCTTACTTGGGAGAATCTTATCCACCCATACTATTTAAAGAGGGGTTTTACAGATCGAGCAACTTGACATGTATTTCCCCTAAAATAAAATGGAAAGTGTCTGTTGAGATCGTGACTGATATAAAAATTCATAAAACACCATCAAGTCGTGTTCTTTTGTTAATATTTTTTATATTTATTTTGATTTTGGTTTAAATTAGACTTACTTTTAGCGGCTATTTCTTTTTTATTTATGTGTGTGTGATGGGGGTTATAGTTCTCTTGTTGCACGTCATCAACATTACTAATTAAATAATAATATATATCCTTGGTCCCTTCAGACAGATGTTTATGGTTGCATATAGATATACAATACAGTAGACACATCTCCTGCAAACGCACATAGAGTGGATAATTAATTGTCATTAAAGTTTTGTCTTTTTGTCAGCATATTAAATGAAAAAAAGTACACTACTACATGTAGTATATATGCAATTCTTATATATGCACAATTAGGCCATTCCAAGAGTTTTCTAAGTTAATTTAGCGTCCATCCTAAAATTAAAAACCTAATTATCTTTTTACCCTGGAAAAAGACACGAACCAACAAAGAAAAAAAAAAACAAACAATAGGAACTTACAGCATTTCCATAATTTTTGCTTTGTAAGTGAGATATACATGTATGTGGGAAAAAAGAATAACAGAGGGCGGACCTTTTATTACACTGCTTTTTAAGGTCCGCCCTGCCATTTTACCGAGTTTTTTTCCCGCTACGATAACTTTTAATAAACTCTGTTCCAAATATTCGCCTTGTAATAGTAAGATATCTGAAATACAGAGGGCGGACCTTTTATTATACTGCGTTTTAAGGTCCGCCCTGTCTCTTTCTCTAGTTTTTATGCTACGAAAATAAATCCTGTTCAAAATGTTTGCTTTCTAACAGTAAGACATCAGAATTATAGAGGGCGAACCTTTAAATATACTGCGTTTTAAGGTCCGCCCTGCTTCTTTCTCTAGTTTTTATGCTACGAAAATAAACCCTGTTCAAAATTTTCACCTTGTAATAGTAAGAAATCTAAAATATAGAGGGCGGACCTTCTATTATACTGCGTTTTAAGGTCCGCCCTGTCTCTTTCTCTAGTTTGTATGCTGCGAAAATAAACCCTGTTCAAAAATTTCGCCTTGTAATAGTACGATATCAGAAATGCAGAGGGCGGACCTTTTATTATACTGCGTTTTAAGGTCCGCCCTGCCATTTTGACTAGTTTTTATTTTACGGAAATAAACCCTGTCCAAAATGTTTGCTTTCTAACAGTAAGACATCTGAATTATAGAGGGCGGACCTTTAAATATACTGCGTTTTAAGGTCCGCCCTTCTCTTTCTCTAGTTTGTATGCTACGAAAATAAACCCTGTTCAAAATTTTCGCCTTGTAACAGTACAATATCTGAAAAACAGAGGGCGGACCTTTTATTATACTGCGTTTTAAGGTTCGTCCTGCTTCTTTCTCTAGTTTTTATGCTACGAAAATAAACCCTGTTCAAAATTTTCGCCTTGTAATAGTAAGATATCTGAAAAACAGAGGGCGGACCTTTTATTATAATGCGTTTTAAGGTCCGCCCTGTCTTTTTCTCTGGATTGTATGCTGCGAAAATAAACCCTGTTCAAAATTTTCGCCTTGTAATAGTACGATATCTGAAAAACAGAGGGCGGACCTTTTATTATACTGCGTTATAAGGTCCGCCCTGCTTCTTTCT